GTCTTTTTTAAAAAAAAATTTCTCAGCTGAAAATTAAATTAATTAATCAAAAGCAATATTTTCAGTTTCAGCGAAATTTTATCTCAGACTTCGATGTTTAAAAAATTTTTAAACCAATAAAAACGTTTAAGAAATTAATATGCTGTATTTTGATAAGTGCATTAACGTACTTATAAACATGCATTTGCATTTAAAAATCGAATTATTATTTGTAAAATTTGAAAGAGAGAAATATTTTCATTAAAGATTCATTCATGTCTGTGCAATATTTATTTTGTATTCAGCCTGGACGGCTGACTCTGTAATCCATTGTATGCAAACCCAGATCAATTACACTTTTTTTTTTATTTCCCAATAATACTACTCAAATTTTCAAACCATATCACTTGCGAGATAAATGTAGCATGTATTTCACTTATGTGGGACTCTATCGTGCGAGTTCAGCATGTCATGTAATAAGATTTCATTTTAGAATTTATGCCAAAAATTTCAAAATTTCATTAAATTTTTTTAATTGTGAGGTATAATGTCATTTCGCAAAATTCGCGGGTGCAAGAGTTTTATCATTTCACACGAGGTACATTTCTAATCGAAATTATTACAGTTTACGATGCAATTATTCCGAATCTGAATAAGGTTACAATTTTTTTTTAGCAATACCTATCTATGTTTACGCGAATTTTACCTTCCGCGAAGTAAATTTTTAATTAAAAAAGCTTAACAATCAATATTTTTTCAAGCGCAAAAGTTTTTAATAAAATAATAATTAGATTAAATTCCTTTTGTACAACATATTTTTATAAATAAATAATAAATGATTCGTGAATATCTTAATAATAAAAAGAAAAAAACGTATATTAGTTATTGTAAAATTGCGAAATACTGCAATTGTCCATTGTTACTGTATCTTGAAATATCTTATACCATTACAGTATACTGAATCGAAATAAACTGGGAGTTTTAAAATTAATATCGGAGAATCTTATTTAATTTTTTCCAATTTATGATTTAACAGTAAAGATGTTTACTTCTTTTCGAAACGCACCACTTATTTGTTAATTTTGAGACCTCATTATGAACTTAACTCTCCAAATATAAAATAGTATAGTTAAAGTTTGATTAATTATATTCTAGCTACTTATTAAAATGCACAAACTGCTTGTTGCTGGACAAACTCAGTAACCTTTAAATCACAATGATATTATTTGTTTACTGTACTATAACTCATACCCCTAACTTAGGCCGAGTGTTTAATCGTGTGATGTGATAGCCGCGAAGATAACATTGGGCCTGTTCTTCGTTTACTTGCGCTAAATCATTAATGCATTGTTTTTATAGCAAGGAATTGTTTAATTACAATAATTAGTTTGTAATAACTGTTTAATGATTTTACTTTTTTAACGTTAACGTTAATAAATTAAATAAATTAGAGGCATCACTAAAACACTAAATTTCATTCGTTCTCATAAGATATTTATTACGAGAGCTCATTGTCGGTGAAAAGCGCACTTGTAAAATGTGCATTGACAGAGAGTGATTGTCTAACGCAATCGATCAAATAATGTGCAATTTAAAGTGCGCTTACAGATATGCCGGCAAAACCCCAAACCCAAACAAACAATTGCCATTTATTGTTATAAAAAAAATTAAAAAGATAACCTTGATATTCTACAAAGGTAATACGATTTGTAATCTATGTATTTGTACATTTGTAATTAGTAATGCAAAATTTCATTCCCGCCATTTTGAATCAGTGTTACAAACACTTCTTTATATATTCCCGGATTCTTCATATCGATAAATCGAGATTTACATAGTAGTAATGTTTTACAAGATTTATTTTAGATAGTGCATCAGCTAATATGGATTTTAGAAATTTAAGTTTGCGGGATTTTACTAGATATAGTTACAGAAACATTTGAATAAAAATTTTATATGGAATATCAGTAACTGAATTCTATCATGTAACATTCAAATAATGAAGTAACATTCTACACGTTGACTAATTCCTGAAAAATACGGAAATTGTTATGTTGAATGATGAAACGATGTTGGAGTGATGAAACGATGTTGGAGTAATGAAACGTTGTTGGAGTAATGTAACGATGTTGGGGTAAGAAATGATGAAACAAAATATAATAATTAACGAAGTTTACCGTTACAGAAATTATTGAAACATGCTGTAGATGATTTAATAAATGTATATTATTTACATGCATCACTTATTATCGTTATTAACGTGTATAAATCACAAAGTCTAGTGCTACGTATACTGTAAGCTCGATTGGTAGAGCTGTTAACGGCTTGTATGACTTGGCACAGCTTTAAATTCATGGCACCATGGCTCGAGCCGTGACTTGAGCCATTGCTCAAGCTGCGGTAGATAATACTGACACAATAGTATTAAATACTATATATTTTGTTAATAATGAAATTTAAAGTAATATAATTAAGAGTTGTAACTTAAGCTAAGCTGCAGTTCCAAGCTATAGCTCAAGCTACAGCATAAACCGCAGTTCAATCGGCCTGGATCGCTTGGCTCCATTATGCAGCTAAAGATAAGCCATTAACAGCTCTACTGATTACGATTAGTGTTAGTAGGCTAGTCTACTTAGCCGGTTGATCGGTCGATTTTTTTGGCTTAGTCTACTCTCAATACTTAAAAACAGAATTGATCACGTCCTAAATTTTCATTTTAAGTAATTACGTTATCGAACTTTGTAACCAAACATATGCTGTAGGTAAATCCTGGATTTTGCGAATTCAGAATCCATTTAAGCGGAATTTAATGGACACAACATTCATGTAACTTACGTACGGGCACCAGAGTTAACTGTTAAGGTTAGAGTTGCATTTTAGTAATGCTCATTGTTGTGTCCATAACACAGATAAATAAGTACCAGTAAAAATTCCTGTTGCTGTCAAATTTTGGTTCCAAAAATGGTCAACAAGATATCAACATTCAGAATAACACGTCACTCTGTTAATACGTATTGACATTTTCAAGGCATTAGTAAAAAAGATTCAAATATGTCAATACAATAAGTTAATATTAAAATTTTGAAAGATTTTACCATGATGTCATTATACACATTCAGATGTCAGAATAACCAGAGTGACGTGTATAAATAAAATATCAATAGAATAATATCCTATTGATATTGTTTTGACTGGTTGACTACTGATATCTTATTGCCTCTTTTGGAGTCAAAATTTGACGGTAATGGGAATGTTTACTACCGTATTCTATCATTCTATCGTAAATAAGCATCGCACATTAACCTCACTTTTTTAATGTCAGATTAGCGGAAGATCTTCAGCAAAGCTATTCCTGTTGATCTTATATTTAAAAGGTGGGATAGAGGGTGCGGTGCTTATTTACGATTAGAAACGACAATACTTATTGTCCTTTTATTGAACTTAATTTTTGCATGTGACGTGAATGCTTGGTCCGCATCAATTCCAAGAATTTGTCTAATGATGGATCAGAAATCATGATCAATTAAGCCACTACACAAAGTATTGCTCATTTCATTTTGCGCTATTGAAAGTTTTTTCTAATTACGCGAAATATTGGCAGAATTTAGGAATTTACAGTATACATTGGTTGGTGGATTTTCATTAGAACACTAAGTATTAATTGCTTAGCCACTTTTGAGATATGATGTTCAACATCTATGTTGCATTTTAGTAAACTCGAGAATCGTTTTCATGAACGAATGACCACTTGCTATTTTTCTTGCATTATTTTATGTTTAAATTTCGTTTAGTGTAGTATTTTTGTTTTTTTAGAATAAAAAAAAAAAAGAACAATCGCGTAAATTTTGCTATTTCAACAAATTTTATATTTTATGCAGTTAATCAACAGTAAATCACAAATTTTACATCGCATTAATTGCGATTCCTGATTCTGATACGCAGCCCATCACTGTTACAAAATGTGGATCTTCTATGATCTTACGTAATTAAAGCCATCTTTGAATAATCATAATACATTCATCACTACCGCAAAACTTTCATTTATGTACTTGAACCCGATTATCTATTATCAGTTAGCGGATTACGTTCATATGTCTGTAGACTTGTGACGACACGACCTATTGTGATGTCACATCACATTTTTTTCAATTTGTACATATGTACGACGTAGGGTTAATAGTTTTCCCATTTAACGTTAAAAGTTATACCATTTAAAAGCTATAACTTCCGAATATAACTTATGCAACATTCGGCAATATTCTCCATTAGTTAAAAAAAAAATGATATCATATAATATCCGAATGTGTCATAATGAGATTACGGGAGTCATGTGTACTTTACACATAATCTCCGAAGAGAGAAATTTTTTTACGGTAAATTAATTCCTTAATGATGATAAAAAAATTTTTTTTCGGATTTTGTAAATTTGTTCTTGTAATAAAAAAACATCTCACGCATTTAACCAAAATTTTTTAAGTTAATGTATGTACACATTATTTAATTTTAATTTTTTTAAGTTCAATTCACAAAACAAATATTTCATAAATATACTAGATGTGCGTACGTACGTAACTCCAATTTCTATTTTCCTTTTATTAACTGTTAACGTTAATCAACTTGTTGAAATGAAATATTTTCTAGTCTAATAGAGCACAGCAAAAAAAAAAAAAAAAAAAACTAGATATATCTTTCGCTTAAGTCCCTTAAGTTCGGAGCTCGTAAAAGATACTTCCGCACACTCTACAACTATTGACCTTTCACATATATTCACAAGATTGCATGCTTATAACGGAACTTCTTGCTACATATACACCTATTGCTTTCAAGAGAAAGAGCTGTCTTTAAGAGGAAGAGTTTTTCTTTTCAGAAATCAGTAAGTGTCTTGCGATTTACTTAAGTTCAAGGAATCTACTTTACATCTTATAGATTCTCTTGATCACGCCCTATTCCTACTTTTAATTTCACTTTATTGAATTCTTTGCAAAAAAATTTCTTTTTTACTTTTTTACTAACAACTAGCAATGAGTTCCCTTAAAGATCCCGTTGAACCTAGCGAAACTACAGAGTTTAATCCAGTTTGTCATTCTAGTCCTACGTTAACAACAAGTCCTTTAACAGGTACATTTGCTACTACGAACGTACAAAGTTCAAAGTTAGCTCGAAAAAATCTTATTCCTTCAATTGATACAACTTTAAAAGTGACTAAACCTCCAAAGGAAAGAAAAATTAGGAGTTTAATTGCAAATCCAAGTTCATATTATGAAGTAGGAAAATGGAATGCTCTTGATATAGATAGTAAATATGATGATGATTCTCCTGCGATTACACTTCCTAGGAGATCTATGTCGTTACCGAATAGAAAACCAAATTCTATTGAAAAAGATAAAGTTTCTAGTCGTTCAACTCCAACAGGTGAACTGTCTCGTAGCCTAAGTATAGACAAAAAATCTGTTTATAGTCAAGATTTTCTGCCTATTCCAAATGATTTTCATCATACAAGTCCTCAGTCTATTGACTACTTATCACCAAACGTTTCTCCTCCTCTTAAAAATGATTTATTGGATGCTCCAACAAAAAAACTTTATCATAATCGTGCTCATTCTTATACTCCAGAAACAAGTAGTGAATTAACTCCTTTAGATATCCCACAACGTCCTATTTCAACAAATTTGAGCTTACGACGTTCAAAAGAACCTAATTCTAATGATAATGATATTTCAAATTTTAACTCTGATAATTTACAAGAATTTTTATATGATTACGCTCGTGGAAAATTTAATCCTTCTTCTATTCCAAAGAAACCAAGAAGATTATCAACTATAAAATTAAAGGATGGAAATTGGAAATTTAGTTTACCAGCTTCTCCTCTTTCTGAAAAAACTACTAATAGTGATGAAATTAGTGATTCTTTTAGTAGGGGTAGTGAATCTAGAGAAAGATCAATTTCATCAATACCTTCTGTTAGCGAAGAAAATGAAGATCTTCTTTTATTTCCTGATAATAATGATAATAATAATTATAATTATGATGGTGATGATTCTGAATCTTATGATGATGCCGATTCCTATTTTGCTCCTCCGATGCCTCCGAATGAGACTGAACGAAGAAGAGCTCTGTAAGCTTTAAATAAATTAATAAAAATTATATATATATATTTAAATATTTAATATATATTTAATATATGTTTAATATAATATATATATATATATATATATATATATCAGATATCGTTTTCTTAATTACTATCAAAGTTTGGAGTGATAAAATGCTAATATTATATTTCATTATACCATTACTTTTTTTTTTTATTTAGGTGGCGATTCCAAATATTAAACACTTCACAAGATGTAAATTTTGCACGTATAGTTAGACTTGTTAAGGAACATTTTAACGTTCCAATTACGTTAATTTCTCTAGTAAATACCACTCATCAATGGTTTAAAGCTGAAAATGGTTTTGGTTGTAAAGAAACAAAACGTGAAGTCAGTTTTTGTGGTCATGCAATTTTACAAGAAAATGGTGATCCATTTGTAGTTCCTGATTCATTACTTGATTGGAGATTTAAGAAAAATCCTCAAGTTATAGGTCCTCCTTATATTCGTTTTTATGCTGGTGCTCCTTTACGAACAAAAGATGGTCATAATGTTGGCACTCTTTGTTTGATCGATACGAAACCTCGTGATTTCTGTGAACGAATGCGTGAATCATTAAAAGATTTTGCAAAAGTTGTTATGCGTGAATTAGAACTTTGGGCTGATAGATTAAGATTAGGTGTTAGAAACAAAATGCAATCTAGTCTTGCTGAATTCAGTAAATTTTGTCTAGAAACTCAACTTGCTCACGGTGCTGAAAATGGTGATCCTGTTATGCGTCGATGTTTTGAAAAATCGGTGGAATTAATAAAAGATACTTTGGATGTTGACGCTTTATATTTATTGGAAATGCCTTCTTTATCTGCTAGAAAAATCACATACGCCAATCGTTTATCAAATGATTTCTCTAATGATTTTCTTTTGAATAGTCCTCCACCTGAATTACCGACCAAACATTTGAAATTCCTCGCTGCTGCTGGTCTCTCAATTTCTACTGATTCTATTTCGACTCCAGTAACTACTTCTTTCTTGACACATTTGATGCAAACTCATGCTCAGGGTTACATATTTCAAAATGCTTTACCACAATTACCTACCCTTTTCCCTAATGATATGTGTTCCGGTATTGTTGTTCCTATTTATGATAATGCAAAAAATGCTTTTGGATTTCTCATAGCTCTTACTAAAGATCCTTTGAGACAATTCGAAGATGAAGAGCGTGTTTATTTGGGAAATTTTGGTGTCAATATTGTAAGTGAAGTTCTTAAACGACGTGTTATTGTAGCTGATAGAGCAAAGGGTGCATTCATTAGTTCGGTATCACATGAATTACGAACTCCTTTACATGGAATTTTAGCCAGTTGTGAATTAATGAGTGAAGGTCATTTGAACGAAGCACAAACTGAATTACTTAAGACCATTCAAAGTTGTGGAACTGGTTTAATTTCAATAATAAATAATGTTTTAAATTATGCGAAAATGGACAATTCACGTGATTATGATTTAATGCATCCTCCACCTGTACCAGTTTTGAATAGTAATTCTGGTAATTATTACGATACACAAGAACAACAACATCATCGTCATCATCGTGATAGAGCCAAACAAAAAGAAAGGGTAGATTTAGTTAAAATATTAGAAGATGTTGCTGAATCATGCGTAGTAGGACAACAGATGGTATCTGTAATTTATGCAAAAAATAGTAATAGTAATAACGATGAAAATAGTTCACCATCACAAGCAAGGAGAAGACATGTTTGTAGATTGCTACATCCTTACCAATCTAAGAGAGAAACTGGTTCACCTGAAGTTGATCTTCTTATGGATATAGAACCACGGAAAGATGGATGGTGGGTGATGGCGGAAGATGGTGCGATCAGGCAAATGCTTATAAATGTAAGAATTATTTATTTAATCGAAATTATTTAATTGAAATTATTTAAAAATTATTTAACATAATTAACCTTAATAAAATTATATTAATTTTTTCATTTATAATTAGATTGTAGGGTAAGTCGCAATACTTGTTAATTTGCCAAATTTTTAATTTGTTAATTTTATTAACGTTACTAACATTAGATCAATCATATGATTAATTATTTTTAGTAATGCTCTGAAATTTACGCAACAAGGCTATATTCACATATCACTTGCAACTGTTTCGTCATCTTGTCAACGTACAACATGTGAACGTTCTTGTTGTCAATATTCATCATCTGATCCAACCGATGAATCGAAACGATTACACGTTCTTTTTACTATAACTGATACCGGTCGTGGAATTGATTCAGATTTTCTTACAACTCATCTTTTTCATCCATTCACACAAGAGGATCCACTACAAATTGGTACTGGATTGGGTTTAAGTATTGTCAAATTATTAGTAGAAAAGATGGGTGGTAAATTAGATGTTGAGAGCGAAGTTAATGTTGGAACTAGAGTGAGGATCTGGTTAGATTTTGAAATAGCTAGTGAAACTGATACTGATAGTGAAGATGATGCTAGCGTTAAAGAGAAAAAAGAGATAAAGAAGAAAGAAAAGGAAATTATTTTGAGGGAATTTCAAAATAAATCTGTAGTGGTCAAAGGCGCAAAAGGGAAACTTAAAGATATTATACAACGATTTCTCAAAAATTGGTATAATGTAAAGAATATAATTCTTGAGGAACGACCTAGTAAGATAGATGGTGATTTGGTGATAATTCTTAACGAAGATTTAGAAATTTTAAAATCTTTATTATCTGATACTGGGAAGTCTTGTAAAAATAAATCTTCTTGGTTTAACTCGAATTTAATTTCTGAAGGTTCTGATAATATAAATGCACCAATTATTTTTGTTACTTCATTGGAAAAGCATGGTAAATTCCGAGAAATAATTGAACAAATTCAAGAAGAAATTGAGACGAATTTAAAACAAAAACATCGTAAAGTCGTTATTATTTCAAAACCTATCAGCCCTCGAAAAATAGAAAACGCTATTCTATCATGTTTTAAAATAGATATCAACTCTGAACTTTTACCACCACAAATTGTTATGACTCCACCTGTTAACGATGATGATACTTCATCAGATGATACACTCGTATCTTTACAAACACCGCTTAACACGCCGCCAGCAAGAAATAACCCGTTTGAAAATACAAACATTAATTCACAATCAATACATCACCGAGCTCCTTTAATCCATGCGAATACAGATGTTCCTTTACCATTGTCATCCTCACCACCGTCCTTGGATAAATTTCCATCATCACCAAGATCACGAACTTTATCAACTTCACGTTCATTACCTGCAATATCTACACCTGATTTAGATCTTCCTATATCATCACGACCTGGACTTCGTAGTCCAAGGGTTCTTATAATAGAAGATAATATAGTAAACAGAAAAATTCTATCTACATTTTTGAAAAGTCGAGGAATTGATTTTGAAGAAGCAGAAAATGGTGCTATCGGTGTTCAGAAATATCAAGAAGCATTAGAACAAAAAAGTTCATCTGGTGAACGAGATAAAAAATTTGATGTAGTGTTAATGGGTATGTTGTTTTTTTTTTTCATTAATGAGATGTTAAAAAGAGCACCAATCCGGTTAGCGTTTATTCGGATAATTATCGGATATCCGGATTTGAATTTTTTCGGATATTTAACTATCCATTTACTATTGATATCCGGATAATTATCAGAATATCTGTCAGATTATCCGCATATCAATAGTAAACAGTAAATCAGATGTGGATAAATGGTTATCCGGATTGGAACTCTTATGTTGAAAAAAAAATTATATCGGAAATATTCTAACTTTTATATATTAAAATTATTGTAATAGATATTCAAATGCCAGTAATGAATGGTAATGTTGCCACGTCTGAAATTAGAAAGATAGAAAGAGACTATGCTCAAAGACGACAAAAATTAAAACAAAGATCGTTAACTGAAACTCTAAAAGGTATATCAAGAATTCCGACAGGATTATTTCCCAATTTAACAAATTCATCCACGACAAATACCGAACAAACCGATTCATTCCGTCAATCATCAATACAAATAGAAAATAGATCTTTAATTTTCGCATTAACTGGATTAGCTAGAGAAGAAGATAAAGATATGGCATATGGAAGTGGAGTTGATGGATTTTTAACAAAACCCGTTAGTTTAAAAACTTTAGATAAAGTACTTAAAAGATGGTCTGAAAAAGGTGAATTTAATGAAGAATTTTCAGAGATAAAATCACCGACATTAATTAAGGATGATGATAATAATTCAACTCTTATAAAGGATAATCAAGAGACTTAAGAAATTTTTTTTTTTTTTAAGTATAGATAATATGTAATTATATAATTTTGGGATGGGGTGAATTGTTATTATTTATTATTATTATAACTATTATTATTATTACTCTGTCTATAGTTAAAGTGTTTGCATTTTCATTCGTGTAGATGTTCCTTTTTTCTTTTCTTATTGTATATTTTGTTTTTTATAAAAACTTGATTATATAATATTATATAGCATAATATTCCCTAAATGCACATATAAACTAGTTTCGCTAACTAATTACCTATATATAAATTATTTTTATTGTACAATCTTTAAATTTTTATACATTAATTATTTAATAAAACTGCATTATTAGAAACATAAAAATTATTATTATTATTATGATATATAAAATCGAAATCGAATCGTACTTTCGTTTTTTTGCATATTTTTGATTTCAGGATCATAAAATACTATTATCAGTTATGGATTCGTATAGATTCAGGGTTGAAATAATATCATCAGATAATATATATTTAACCATATCGATATGTATGAATGGCGAGTTTTTGGGTTTAGCCAACATTAAGTTGTAGACTAATTTTTATAGTCAATAGCAAATTCGGAAGGTAATGGCCAATCAAAACTCTATAATCATGTGATAGATAAACATTTCATTGATTATTAATACAGTACTGTAGTAAGGAGAAAAAATTCGAGTTTCATCAAACACCTAAATACCCCTTTTAAAAATGATTAAGTTACCAGTCGAATGCTTTTTCGAAGTATTTAATAATCTTCAAGATGATTACAAAACCTTATTTTCATGCCTTCTTGTAAACCGTCAGTGGTGTAGAATTATTGTACCGATATTATGGAGTAAACCAACAGATTCTCTAATTGATAAAAGACTTATAAGAATGTATCTTTTAGAATTAAATACTAAAGAACAAACACAATTGATTCCCTTTAAAATTATTCTTCCAAATTATCAAAAACCATTATTTGAGTATGCAAGTCATACAACATCTGTTGGCTTTTATCTAACCGATGGAGTTGAAAATTGGTTTATCGATGAAGGATTTGGAACGGATATATTTCATTATTCAATCCTCATTGATGATTACGGTGATAATGAAGATGAGCCCGTAAGCGCTGTTAAACGTTCTTTGGTTGCCATGTTTTTACGAACTAGTAAAAAGCTTAAATATTTATCACTTGACAAAACTGTTAATAAAATAATACTTGAGAATCTTTCTTTCAACACCACTATTATTTACTTGTGTCTTCTCGAAATTCATTTTAATTCCGAAGAATTAAAAGAATTAATGAAAGTTATTAGTGATAATACTACTTTGACTTCTTTGGATCTTTCTTATAATTATCTTGGTTCTGAAGAAGGGAAATCACTAGCGGAAGCTATTTGCAAGAACACTACTCTAACATTTTTAAATATTGATGAAAATCAACTTGGCTTTGAGGGCGGAAAAGCATTAGCAAAGGCACTTTGTAAAAATTCTATTTTAACTTCATTAGATATTAGTCATAATAATATTGGATTCGATGGAGGAAATGCATTGGCAGGAACTCTTTGTGTCAACACAACTCTGACTTCATTAAATGTTTCTGATAATCAACTTGGTTCTAAGGGCATAGAAGCGTTAGCAGAGGGTCTTTGTAAAAATAAAACTCTGGCATCTTTAAATATCAGCAATAATAAGATTGATGTTGATGGAGTGTTGGCATTAGCAAAGGCCCTTTGCACAAACACCACTTTAACTCTGTTAAATCTTTCCTATAACGAACTTGGTTCTAATGGAGGAAGAGCACTAGCACTAGCACTTTGTATTAACACAACTCTGACTTCCTTAAAAATTTATGAAAATCAAATTGGTCCTGATGGAGGGAAAGCGTTAGCAAAAGCTCTTCGTAAAAACGCCACTTTAACTTATTTAGATATTAGCGGTAATGAGCTCGGACTTGAAGGGGGAAAAGCACTAGCAGAGGCTCTTTTCATAAACACTGCTTTAACTTTTCTAGATCTTTCTTCTAATCTACTTGGTCCCGAAGGAGGGAAAGCGTTAGCAGAAACCCTTCGCGTAAACAATACTTTAACCTCCTTAAATATTGGTAATAACAAAATTGGTTATAAAGGAGGAGAAGCGTTAGCACAAGCTCTTTGTAAGAACAATACTTTCACTCATTTAACTATTAGCAATAATAGGATTGGATTTGAAGGAGGGAAAGCACTAGCAGAAGCTCTTTATTCAAACAAAACTCTAACTTCCTTAAATATTAGTCATAATAAGATTGGTTTTAAAGGAGGAATAGAATTAGCGATAGCTCTTTCCGTAAACAACACTTTAATTTCCTTAGATATTTCTTTTAATGAACTTAATTTTGAAGTTGAAAAAGCCTTAGCAGAAGCTCTCCGCAAAAATACTACATTAACCTTCTTATACATTTATGGTAATCGATTCAAATGCAAAAATTTAAACGCTTTAAAATCTTTTGTCTTATAAATTCTACACGAATATACTGTACTTAAAATAACTTGATTTGAATATATTAGCTTGTCAACTTTTAGCAATAAACAAGTGTATTGACTTAAAAGAGTGCTGCAAAAGACAATCTTTGTCGTTTATTATTTTTTAGAATTAACGTACTAAGCCATTTTAAAATGGCTAAAGCTTCTTTTATATGCATCTACTATAGCCGTCATTATCCTAAAAAGTTTCTACCGTATTAGCGCGTAATAACTCGCATCTGCGCGTTATTTCGAAACTCTCCATTTTTTTGAAATTTGGTTTTTTGACTCAAAATAACGCCATGCGCGTCCCAAAAAAATGCGCCCCCTTAAATGTACCGTATTACATATTTTAATTGAATTTTTCAGGCTAAGTTCATTATTAAAAGTAGGGCTTCCTCTTGTAACCCAAATTTGTCAAGATGAATCGAATTACCGCGCATGCGCGTCCCAAAATAACGCGTAGGGTCTCGAAATAACGCGCAGATGCGCGTTATTACGCGCCAATACGGTACAAATAAAAAGTTTTTTTTTTGAACTTTTAATAGTAAATAATGTTAGAATTCGCATTAAAAACTTTCTTATCATAAGTATCTAGTGTTTTTTTTTAAAATATTTTATTATTTAAAAATTTATACAGTATAGTATAAATTTATTATTCTGTAACATTCAGCTCATTCAATCTGCTTGCTGTTAAATAAAAAATTATAATTAGTATTAAAAAATAAAACTTATTTATCAGAATAAGGTTTACATGAATGAAGTAACGTATTGGTATATACCGTATATAGTATATACGGTATATACTAATACGTTACTTCATTCATATGTTGGGTAAATACGGTATATACTATAAACCGTATTTACCCAACATATGTACCCAGGTATTTCCCTAACTCGTTTTAGTACACTGGGTACACGTGTGGGGGATATATTGTGTGGATATGAATATGTTTTATTATGTTTTACTGGGTACAGAAACATGATAGTATCATACTTAGGTACCCGGGTATAAGTCAAAATTGACTATCAAAACTGTTACAGGGTAGGGGTCTACATGTTGGGTAAATACGGTATTGTAATAAAGAGATTTATACCACCCTCAAAAGAGGCGTGGATTTGGCCGGGTGAGTATATTTTGAAATGTGTTAGATCTAACTTTTATATAAGGATAAATGCTATATTTATATACTATTTGCCTATATGCTAAATATGCCAAATGTGCTAAATATGCTAGATATCCCAAATGTCCTAAATATTCCAAATATCTCAAATATTCTAAATCTACTAAATCTGAAATTACTATCTTATGCCAAACCTAAACAAATATGAAGATATTTTTCTCCACCTAGCTTATTTATTTCATGAACTAATTAATTCTCTGGGATCAAATGTTTGTGAACTGCTTCTACATGTTAGTTGATTCATAGACATCTGAATATTACTATTTTTGATCTTGATTTGATTCTTATAGCAGGGCTCAATTGCTTCATTAGCAAGATTTTTGTCTGCAGATTTTTAGTAATAAATAAACACCTTATATTTATTTCTTTTAATGTCAATTTCATTTTAATAATAATATTCAGATTTGTATTTTATTGTGTTTTGGTATTGAAAGTTCCAAATTTGCAGCATAAGCATTAAGTAAATTATCTTGTAAATATTACTATTATTAGCTATACAATTTATTATATATATGCTTTATATAAATTTTTTATTTATAAAATTATAATAAAAAAAAAGGAGAATTCTAATATACACCACAGGTGATTATTACCTGTAGTTAATTTGCCAATTAAAATCCAGGATCAGGTGTAACATGTAAATCAATTTTGTGTAACAAAAACAAAGAATTTTTTTAAAAAATGCTTATATCTTAAAATTTTGTCTATAAAACCACTTTTCAAGCTCTAACAAAAAAAATTTCTTGCTAAATTTTACTATATATAAAGCACTACCCTAATCTCTAACCCCTAACCTCTAACCTCTAACCCTTACCTAACCCTAATATTAAAGAGGTTTGTTTTGTTTTTATTTATAAAATTGCATGCATTGTAGATCACAGATGATAATCACCACATTAGATTATTTCAATTAAATATTAATTTATTTAATTTATTTAAATTATTTAGATATAATTTAATTTAATTCGTGATCTGCTTGGGAACCAGTGAAAAATCATGTGATTTTAACTTAAATTTCGCCTTTTTCAGAATCTAACATTTCTCTAAGGATAATCGATTTTGTACTAAAATAACTCTCTTATAAGCATAATAACTGTTGTGAAGGAGAAAAATATGAGCATAATGGTAGGTTAAATACTAAAATCAGTCCAGTGAGTTATGAGATATAGGCGTATTTGTCCTAACAACTATATAATATCTACAAAATAAACAGATAGTCATAAAGATGAAAATGCCCATATCTCATGATTCACTAGGCCGATTTCAATGTTTTAGCTACTATTATGCTCGTAATTTCCTCCTCTATAATATTTGTTATGTGCACAAGA